CGAAATCTAGGTCTCCTACTCCTCCGCCATCTTGCCCCCCCCCCCCCCCCACCCAGTGAGCGGGTTTGACACGAGCTATTTGGCACACACGGTCTCCTGGCATCCTCATGCAGGACCATCACCACATTGTATAGACAAGGAGGCTGTGTACCAGAGAGGTTCATACACGGTGTTGGGAAGACCAGGATTCGGCCCTCTTTCTGTTAGTTTCAAGCAGCAGATGGCCACCCTGTACATCCCCCGAATTCCCTGCCAGCCAGCCCATTGTCTCCTCAGACTTACCTTGTCGGCTCAGATGGCAGCACCAAGGGCATTTGAGGAGAAAATAGCCTCCCTGACATCAGCCTTGAAGACTTTTTTCGAGGAGAGGCTGGGAGCCCTTGATTTCTAATCATCCTTAGTCCATCAACACGTTCAATTCTATGTTCAATCTGGACCTGTTTTTGGGATAGCAGGGACCCTTTCATCTGGAGCCCAGGGGCCTGGGTTTGGGCCCTAGCTCCGCCTCTGACCTGCAGCATGACCTCAGGCAATCATTCGTTTGCCTTTTCTATCAGTGCCCGCCTGTCTGCATCTCAGAGTTGTAGGGATTCAGTAAGTTCATGGATATGAAGCTCTGTAGACCAGAACCTACCACACTGCATCAAATCTTTCTTGGAAAGAGACCGTGAGGAATGCCTTAGAACATACTTGATTAACTGACATGTCATTGTTGATGGTGGTGGTGGCACCCACGAGGGCACTGGCAGAACGCTGCTGAGATTTATGGAGCTCTTGACTCACTTAAGGAACCTCGCTGTTTATCCCGGGACACCTCAGTGTAGTGCCACACCGTTCCTCCTCTCAGTTTTTCAAAGGGTGTGTGACTTAATGTCTTTGGGTGATGGAATTAATAGAATGTACTGGCTGGAAACTGTTGCTAGGCGATTCTCTTCTGTGGTTTAGAAAGGGAGAGCGATGATGTCCCTCAAACGGTGTCTTTGACTCACACAAAGAGAGGCTGGATGACATCAGGGGTAGGAGGCTGGTGGGCTCCGTGCCTCATTTGCAAAAGTAGCAAGTCTCCAGGGTGGCTGTGTTTGCAAATGGCCCTCCTTCTTGAATCCGCTTCCTGCATCCCTACCATTGTCCTTCTGAGTCCATTTTCTGAAGCTAAGTTTCTGAGAACCTCAGCCGGCTCCCCCAGTAAGGAAAACCCATGAGCCCACTTAACGAGGAGGCTTGGGGTGACTTGTGGCTCAGTGGGGTCCTCGGCATCCAGGTTCTTTCCCCTTTCCCCCTCTGCCATTCTGGCTTGTGACCTTTGTCCCTTCGGGCTTGACCCGTCAAACCCCGGGGGCTACTGCAGTTCAGGTGCAGGATGTCACCTCTCTTTTGGCCGTCCTTGAGGAAACCTTTCCCCCCCAGCTCCCAGCAGTCATCCCCTCAGGCAAGGGGAGAGGTTTGGAGACCACCTTAGACTGATCGTAATTTACTCCCTTGTTCCATGGAGGAAGAGGGGAAATTGGATGAGACGGTGGCTCTGCCATCGAAGAATATGGTGGGGATGGCACTTTTATGTGAGCAACTCTTGTCTCTGTGTATCTTCGCATGTGTCAGCCCTCTGTTCTACCTCCTATTAGCTGGGGGCCCCTGGTCAGGTCACTTAGCTTCTCTGAGCCTTAGCTGTGAAGTGGGATGGAGGCTATCCACACCAGGGGTTGGTGGTCAGAGTACATCTCGAGCTCTTCGCAGAGAGCCTGGTAATCCTAAGTCCCCAGGAAATGTGGCTACTCTTTTTTCTGCGTGTTTCCCATGTGTCTGTCCCCATGCTGGGACCGGGACAGTTGCAGGAGAGGAGTCAGAGAAGGTCAGACCTGACTTCTGCCTCTAAGGAGCATCCAGTCAGCTAGGGAAACCAGATGTGTTCCTAAAATTAGGGCAATACTAAAAGGTCCAGGGCCCGTGGGAATGCTCCCTCTGTGTTAACTAGCTGTCCTCAGTGTGGCCGCTGCCCTTGGGTCTGGTTCTAGAACAGCAGAGACCTGCAGAGTGGTCTGGGGGAGCAGTCATCACCTCCCAGGCCCATCCCTGCCGTAGGCTCAGCATCAGCAGTCTTGACTTTAGCTGTTCTTATCCACGCACACTGACAAGCCCCTGATCATCCCGCCGTCCCCTCCTGGACACGTCACTTTGCTCTCTGGTGGCCCTAAATGGGCACAGGGCCCTGTGTGGCCGGAGTGTGCAGGAGCATGCACAAGCCAAGGGCTGTGTCTGCAGACCCCATGGGGAGGGCAGGGGCAGCCGGCGGGCTGGGCTCCAGCGATCGGGTCCCTGCGCGTCTCCCCGCAGAGGGCCATCCGCGTGCGCAGCCACTCCATGGAGACCATGGTGAGCAGCCAGAAGAAGCAGCACGGCGGAGGCATCCCCGGCAGCCTCAGCGGTGGCATCTCACACACCAGCACAGAGGTCACCAAGACCACCTTCTCGGTGAGTGCCGCAGGCCCTGGGGCAGCACATGGTTCCCGGGGACCCCCCTGCCCCCCAGGCCTGTGAAGGAGGGTCTGTTCATCCAGGCTTGGGCCAGAGAAGGCACCGGGGAGATTGGGGCTGTTTGGGGGGTGACCCCAGGCCCTGCCTGTGAAATGCAGCCTCTGTCTCAGGAACCCGCCCATTATGCTGTTCTCGGAGTTCCTTTGACAACTGGGCCTCCTCCTTGGGGCCTGCCCTGCAGAGTGGTTCTGGGGCGCATGTTTCTCTGCTGAGGGGCTTGGGACCCAGGAGGGGTGGCTTCGCTTTGTTATTAACGATCGCAGTAGGCCCCCCCCCCCCCCCCGCCCTGGCCCAGCTTACTGTGCCTTAGGGCCTGAGCAAAGTCATGCATGAACATTTTCTCATCTGATCCCTGTCACGGCTCTTTGAGGTAGGAACTGATGTGTTCTCCATTTCCGATTTGAGGAAAGGAGGCCCAGAGAGTGGACCTTTAGTGACCTGCCCCCAGTCACTTAGCTAAGCTGAAGAGCTGGGGATTTGAACCCACATCTCCCCGACCCAAAGTCTTTGCCGTTAATCACTGTGTGTGCAGTTCCCAAGGCAAGAGCCTGGCATGGCGGTGGGTTTGGGCCTGGTCTGCTTGCACCAGCGACTGGCCAGGTGAAGGAACCACGTAGCTGGTCCATTTGAAGAACAAAGTGACTTTGGATTCATATAGACTAGGGTTTTCTTTTCTTTTTCAAACAGAATACACCATCTTGATACTAAGGATTAGTATTGCAAGTAATCTTACACAGTTCATTGAACTTACCAAATAGCTTCCCAGCTGTTACCTTGTTCCACCCAGAAGGTCTGTGAAAGGAGCAGGGCGGGACTCTGTGGGTGAGGAGGTTGGGCTCCAGAGAGTTTGGCTTCTCACCCAAGGTAGCACAGCACACGAATGGCAGAAGCTGGGCCTGCGCTAGAGGCTGGTGGGCTCTAAAGAACAACCTCGGTCTCCCTTTCCTCAGCCCCGTGCTCACCCCCCCCCCCCCCCAGCGTGTGCTGAAACAGAGCCTCATTCTTGGTGGGTTCCCTTGGCCTGTAGACCTGGCTCTGCCAGTCTCGTTCCGTCTTGTTGTTGAGGCGCCCAGCTTGGACCCAATTATTTGTGAGGAATGGATGGAGAGCCAGGGCCCTGGGTTCTCGTCCCTGTCCGGCCAGCAATTTGGGCATAACCTTAGCCCAAACCCCTCACCATTTGGCTCCTCAGCTTCCTCATTGGTAAAGCGAGGGGTTGGGCCAGGTCACTCCCAAGGCTCCCTCAGCCGTGTGGTTCTCGGTGTGTGACCCCCTGAACCGTCCTGGCCTTCTTGATATGCTGGGCTCTCTTCATGGGAGCCCTGACCCCTGTTCCTCCCAGAGCTCCAGTCTTTGATGATGATTACGTGGGGCCACGAGGTTTGGCTTAAGAACACAGGAAAGCCGGCTGCAATGGCTGGAGTCTCGGGGTCTAAGCTCCTGTTACGGAGATCCTAGCCTTCCCAGCTGCCTTGCTATTTTCTGGGATCTCCTCCAGACTAGTTGGGGGCTGCAGGAGCTATTTGTAGACCAGCAAGGGGGGTGAGAGCAGTCAGGATGTGGGGTGGGCTGGGAGTGCTCATGTTGGTGGTTTTATTGGCAGCCTCCGGCGGCGGCAGCGGCGAAGAACCAGTCGCGGAGCCCCATCAAGCGGCGGTCGGGGCTCTTTCCACGGCTGTACACAGGCTCTGAAGGCCAAGGCGACGGCCGGACACGATGGTAACTGTCCAGTGTGGGACTTGCAGGTCCTGCCACTGCTGTCAGATGCCCAACCTTGGGGAGGGCTTTTGCGCAGCTTCGGGAGATGGCTTCCCTCCAGCATGGGCCCGTGCTTTGGATACTGGCATATCCCGGTCACTCCCTCTGCTCCGGCCACTGAAGCAGATTTGGCCAGTCTCTGTTCGGGACTTTCCGGAAGTGTCCGTGTAGCATTTGGACCCAAACTAGGAACGTTGCTTGGGTTCTTTTCTTCCTTTACCTCCTTTCTTATGGAAGCCTTCCCTGATTGTGCCTGACAGTTCGTTGAACTTCCCTCAGGGCTTCTAGAATGTTTTCTCTTTTGTTAAAAGCAGCTTTCATATTGCATCATACTTAACCCGTTCTTGCTAATTGTCTTTCTCATCCTTTAATGGTGAGCCCATTTGTTGTTTAATTCAGCAAGCAACGTTTCTTGAGTGCTTGCTACATGCTGGGCTCAGTGATCAGGCAAGAACTACAGAAGACACAAACCTGCCTTCCAGAAGCTTACAGTCTTGTAAGGGAAAGGGAGACATTTAGGTTGACTTCCAGGTTGTCGCCCTAGATGGTGGCACCAGCCCCTGAGCCTCGGGCATGCAGGATGAAGGACAGGCTTACGGAGGGGGATGAAAGACTCTGGAATCTGTACACGTGAGAGTCCTTATGGCCTACCCAGGAGAGAAGTGCAGAATTCGCAGTGGCCAGAAGGCAGGTCTTAAGCTTAGGAGCCAGGCCTTGACTGCAGAAGGGAGTCACTGGGGCATAGGTGGTGTTTAAAGCTGGAGCAACGAATACAACCACCCAAAGGAGTGTGTAGAATGCCTGGGGAACACCAGTATTTCAGGGCAAGGGGAGAAAGGGAAGGAAGACGAGAAGAAAGCCTGGAGAGGAGGAATTCCAGGAGGGAGGGTCCACCGTGTCAGACGTGCAGAGAAGCCCTGCACCATGGCCCAGACCCCTGCTTGGGGGGGCAATTAGGAGTAGGTCATTAGCAGCCTCATTAAAAGTGCACTGAGGCACTCACGCCTCTAGGATGGCTGTCATCAAAAAGACACATAATAACAAGTGTTGGCCAGGATATGGAGAAATTCAAATCCTCAGGCTTTGCTGGTAGGAGTGTAGACTAATGCACTTTCTTTGGAAAACGGCCTGGCAGCTCTGCAGAGAGTTAAACATGGAGTTACCATATGACCGAGCAGTTCCATTCCTGTATATGCCCAAGAGAAGGAATACGTATGTCAGCATGAAAACTAGCACACAGATGTTCCTAGCAGCATTACTCATAATAACCCAAAGTGGAAATGATCCAGATGTCCATCTCAGTGAAGGGATAAATAAAATGTGGTGTAACTGGAAAATGGGATTTTTTAAGGAATGCGGGCATATGCTACAACTTCGATGAACCTTGAAAAGACTGTGCTAAGTGAAAGAAGCCAGTCACAAAAGACCACAGCACGTCATGTGATTCCATCTGTATGAACTGTCCAGAATGGGCAAATCCAGAGAGACGGAAAGTTGGTCGCCAGGTGATGGAGGACGGGCGGACTAAACTTGGTGGTGATGGTTGTACAACTCTGTGAATAGACGAAAAACCATTGAATTATACACTTTAAGTGGGTGAATTGTATGTGGATCATGTCTCAGTAAAGCTGCTGTAAAAATTGTGTTGAAGACAAGGCCATCTTGTCCCCACCAGGGGGCACAGGATGAATTGTAGGCGTCAGTACATGGTCTTTGTTAAACTCCAGGAGAAGGAAGCCCTTGGGCCCTTGGCCAAGAGTAACCCGTTTACCAAGATACCCTTCCCAGCCACCTTGTCACACAGATCGAGGGAGCTCATATTGTGGCCTGTGTGAAGGATGTTATGCACGGTGACCCTGCCAGCCCCTCCATGGAGTCCACGTGCGTTGGGTTATTTCCCTGCTGTGGGAGTGGGCGTCATAGACCCGCCTGCTCTTGACTTAGAGCTCTGCCAGGTGGGATGGCCAGTGTAGGTGGGGAGTGGACATGGGCTTGGGGGCATCAGGCCAGGACTCTTGCTTGATCGCTTTTGACTTGCCTAGAAGCCTAAGGTAGCCCCTGATGGAGCAGAAAACCCTGTTGTCCGCTGTGGCTGGGGTGGGGCTCAGGGGAGTGGAGGTCCTGGTGGCTGTGCTCTGGCAGGGGGTGCCATGACCCCACAGGCCCTGTGGTGCTGAGAGCTGGTTGGGCCTGTATCAGGCCTGGGGTCGGGATGGGGGCGTAGGGGCTGGCCCCATGGCTTCACCCCTCTTTATAACTCTTTCCTTAGTGACAGCGCATCCAGCAACCCCAAGACCCCGGATGGTGCACACTCTTCTCAAGAGATAAAGTCTGAGGCCTCTTCCAATCCCAGCTCTCCAGAAATCTGCCCTAACAAGGAGAAGTAAGAGAGTGAGGGTGGGGGCAGGGCTGGCTTTAGCCACTTGGAGCCCTGGAGTGTGCGCTCTGCTGAGAGCCCGCATTTTTGCCTGGAGAACTCTGCAGAACACAGAAGCCAGCCGGCAGGGGGCACGGGGAGTCGCTGGTGGGCAAGCTCAGTCCCTGCCAGGTCTCCCCTGCCTGGGGTGGGGGTGGGGGGGTCTCGGTGAGTGACCAGGCCTGTTCCGCTCCTGTTCCCACAGGCCCTTCGTAAAGTTGAAGGAGAATGGCCGAGCTAACATCTCCCGCTCCTCCTCCAGCACCAGCAGCTTCAGCAGCACGGCGGGGGAGGGGGAGGCCGTGGAGGAGTGTGACAGTGGGGTAGGTGTGGCTCCACCCAACCCTGGGGAGCAGGGAGGGGTGCCCTGGGCCCAGCCGGACACCTGCCGTGTGTATCAAACTAGCTGCTGTGGGTGGAGCCCCATCCGGGCTCTGGGGTGTGGCAGGGAGGATGGAAACAAGAAGGAGGTGGGCCAGTCAGCTGTCCCCACTCCCTGCCAGTGACACAGGAACAGTCACAGAGGGCCAGAGGCCAGCCTGAATGGGGTCCCTGCCATGGGGTTCCCGGCAGGAGAGGAGAGGGTCGGGGCACCTCTAGGGGCGGCAGCCAGATGAGGTCCATATGGAAAGTGGAGGGCAGTGATGGTGTCAGGCCTGCTGTGGTATGGGCCACCCTGTGGGGCCACTGAGGACGGAGCTGGCCTCACTCACCCGGCCTCTCTCCTCAGAGCAGCCAGCCGTCCATGACCTCACCCTTCAAGCAGGAGGTGTTTGTCTACAGCCCGTCCCCGAGCAGCGAAAGCCCCAGTCCGGGGGCACCTGCCACCCCCATCATCGTGAGCCGGAGTCCTACAGGTCAGTGGCGGCTGGGGCTGCACGCCCTGTGGCCGGAGGGGCAGGGGCTGTGTTGTGACCATTGTTCGTGGGCGTGCGCCTCAGCCACACCGAACCAAGCACTTTCCGCTCCAGCCCCGAAGCGTTAGGCCCTTGAGCTCTGCTAGCTCACTTCATCTGTTCATCAGCCTTAAGATGCCTGTGTTCTTATCATCTTACTCCTGGGGAAACTGAGGCTCTGGAAGTTCAGTGATTTGGTAGAGGACTTGGGATTTGAAAGCGGAGGAGGCCCTTTTGCCACACTCCATCATCGACGCAGGCCGCCTCTGCCCCAGTGATGGTCGTGACAAGGGCAAGGGTATGAAGTGGGGGGAGTGTTGCAGGTGGAGGGAACTGCACATGGTTCCTTGGGCTGCAGTCTGTGGAGGGGACAGGTGTGAGAGGAGACAGCAGGCAGATCGGGCACCAGGCTGGGGCTGCCACCGAGACCCTGGCAAGGAATTGGGTGTTGTTCTGCTGGCGAGAGAAGCCACTGGAGCATCTTACGTAGAGAAGCGCAGTCTGGACTAGGTGGCTGCAGCTGGCTGAGTAGACGGGGTTGGTGGGGAATGGACGCAGGGAGGGAGATCAGTGAGGGGTCGCGGTGGGCAGTGAGGGGTGGCTGAGCTCTGTGGATCGGGGCTGTCTGGAGTAACGGGAGAAGGATGTAGATTTAAGAGATGTCAAGGCGGTAAAATTTTCCACTCAGTAGTGGGGGTTCAGGGAGAGCAAAGAGTCTGGGCCTTTGGGGGTTCTGGGACCCCTGCGGTCAGGCAGAGTGCGAGGCAGCAGCTCTGGGGAGGGGGGAGGGGCTGGAGCGTGAGGGGACTGCACGGTATGTATGGCGGGGCACCGTCACCCAGAAATCAGAGCCTTGGTGTCCGGCCCTCGAGGCGGGACAAGTGCAGGACACTGGAGCTTGGGTCCACATCCTTGATCTGGCACTTACTAGTGATGCGACATTGGCAGGTTACTGAGCCTTTCTGTGCCTGTTTCCCCAAGCAAAGGATGGAGGGAGGGGAATAGTTCCTACCTTGCGTGGTTGGTTGTGTGAAGATTAGATGAGCTTAGTTGTCAGAAACTTAGAACTGCTAACCTAAACGTTGGTTAGGTTAAATAACAGGAATAAAACAGTAGTGTAGTTAATGGTGCTCCCCAGAGCACATTTGACAATATCTGGAGACAGTTCTGGTTTTCATGATTGTTTTTAAAATTTTTTTATTGTTATGTTAATCACCATACATTACGTCATTAGTTTTTGATGTAGTGTTCCATGATTCATTGTTTGTGCATAACACCCAGTGCTCTACGCAGAATGAGCTCATGGAGGTTTTGATTTGGATTTCCCTGATGCTGAGCGATGTTGAGCACAAAGAATTATTTGCTGTACAAGTTTCCAGTATTTTTTTTAAATTTAAATTCAATTAGCCAACATACAGTACATCATTAGTTTCAGATGTAGAGTTGAGTTATTCATCAGTTGCCTATAATACCCAGTGCTCGTCACATCATGTACCCTCCTTAATGCCCATCACCCAGTTACCGCATCCCTTCCACCTCCCCTCCAGCAACCCTCAGTTTGTTTCCTATAGTTAAGAGTCTCTCATGGTTTGTCTCCCTCTCTGATTTCTTCCCATGCTGTTTTCCCTCCCTTCCCCTATGATTCTCTGCACTGTTTCTTATAGTCCACATATGAGTGACACCATATAATTGTCTTTCTCTAATTGACTTATTT